TTTCCCTAACTTTTCTGTAAACTCCCAGGAGAATGTTTTCCTCTCTTTTATTTTCGTTCCAACGTTTTTGAAACAGTATGTTAATGAAGTCTTTAAGTAAAGTAAGGATGAAGAACCAAGTTCTCGCAGACAAAGGTAGGTAAGTGTTGAGGTACTTACGTGTAAGCTCCTGGAAAATGCAATGGATTGGTCAGGTTGTTTACGTAGAGGCAGGAAGAGAGATCGGCTGCTGCACAGCAAGTGCATCTCAGTTGGACCAGGGTTAGACCCTGCAGTGCATTTTCAGCACAGGATGGAGAAGCATATGAGCTTGAGTTCAGGGTCATCCACTTCTTGTGGTGATGCAAGGCCTAATGTAAAAGGGGTGGTGTTACCCAAGCAGACATAGCAGCTCTGCCACAGGAAAGAAGAGGTTGGATGATGACCGCTGGTTGTTATGGGAATTGAAATCACTCTTCGTGTTCCTGTGCTTTACTGAAAGCTCACGCGGAGGGCAAACTGCTCTCCAGTTGCCACTGCCTCACAATCCAGAGGAAGCTCAGCATATTGTTTACTTCAGTCCAGAGAGATTCAGGACTCTGGGCTAGGGAGGGGTAGTCCTTTTTATCCCCGGCTCTCTGGATTTCAGCTTTTCCCATATGTTGCTATTTCTGGCATGTTTGCTCATCCAGCAGTTCTGGGGGTCTTTGTTACTCTCTCTAGGATTATCACATAAATTGTGGACACCCACGTGAGAAGGGGAGAAAATGCACGTTCCTGATTCTCCATTTCATTTGCGTGTTCTTTCCAATTTTCAGTTTCATGTATTCTCTCAAATTATATCCTTCCTTTACCTCTTTTACTTCCTGTGTCTGGATCGTCCCCAGTCTTTCAGCTCTGTGGACTGTGCATGAAATATATTTACTGCCTCCGTGTACTTCTCCCTAGCACCTTCTCTGTTGTAACTTCTTTCACTCATGTGTCCATGTTATTCCTAACGCTTTGCTGTTTCCATTGTAAGATTTTTAGTTACAGGTATTACGGGATGTGAGCAGTATGGTTATGTCTCTAAATTCAAACAACATTCAAAGCCAGACATAAGAATACTTACTATGTTGCCTGCAACCCAGTAGCAAGGAAGAGGGTGAATTAGGGAATTAGTACAACTTCTCTATTTCTCGTCCCATATCTTTTGAAGGGGTGTTGGTCATAGTGCCAGAGCCCTTGCTGTCATTCTCATGTTTATTAACACAAGGAAATCAGTGAGCTTACAGGCTCCAGCCTTTGACGTGTGGGAGAAGAGTTGGTGACCAGACACTATGTGCCACTGAAGATACTGTGTTTGTGGCAGGTACACCTGGTTGAGATTTTTCCATGAAGTATTTTTGTAAAAAGCATATGCTTTGTTGAAATGTTTTTGCATACATGATTCCATGGAATTTCTGTTCTTGAAGATAGTCAGAGCTTGACTTGACAACAGCCTGACCAACCTGATTTAAGTTGGCCTGGCGGTGAGAAAGGATGTTGACCAGGTGACTTCATGAGGCCCCTTCCAACCTAAGTTACTCTCTGATTCTATTTTTCTTTCTGAATTAGTTTTGTTGAAAAGAAAACTAAGGCCCAGAGTAAATAATATTAACTTTTTTAGTTTAAAATAGACCATCCAAACTTTTGAAAAAAATTTCTCTAGTTCTCAAAATGTAAACCAGGTCAGTACCTGGCAAAATTAAAATACATTTTAGTTCAACAAACTGTATTGATTTAAGATAGCTTTTTCCACTCAAAATTTTGAAGGATTTTTATTTCTTATTCAGCATAAACTAATTTTTTTTTTAAACTAAATCTCTTGTTTCCTTAGCTCTAGATGGAACTTATTCCTATGCACAGCATGCTAACTTGGTATTTTATCTAATAAAGTATTGAAGACTTGGTCCTGCACTGCGGAACCAGGCAGGAGTACTGGTAGTGGGAAGGACCAGGCTCACAATGCCAAGTCTACCATGTGGCTACTGTGGCATTGATGCAGGTTGTCATATTTGTCCCTCTCTCAATATGTGATATATGCACTTAGGTAATGTCCCTCACATCTCACATGAAAGGCAGGGAACTCCGAGAAGCAGATTTGTAGGAGCTAAATCTGTAACTTCCAGAATAGTGGAAAAGTCTGTTTGGGTAAATGAACTGTATTGTTCAAGGCGTGTCTTTTGTGGACCAGCTGATGTAGTTGAAACATGTTTTAATGGGAGAGCAAGGTGGTTCAATCAAGTCTGTGATAAAGGGGCAGTTTGAGGGAATGGGTTTTTTTCTGTGTAGTATTCTTCTGTGCAGAAACAACTTAGACATCCAAAGCAACAAATAACCACTGTTTTATGTGTGACTGGGGATTATGATAAATAGTTCTGCTGAATTGGGATATAAATATTTAGTTGGAAGAAGAATAAAAGTGAAATGTTTCCCCTGACACGCTTTGATCTCCAGTGATTCCATCTTGAGGCTTAAGGTCACCTGCGCAATGGAAGTGACTAGAAGTTCTCTCTCTTTTTTTTTAAACACTCCATTAATGGCCTCCTTTCTATTTAATTAATAATTGATACGTCTGAAGTGTAGGAGATAAGTGGAAGAACAAACAGACAAGAGAATGCCTAACAAAGTGCTTTACTGGAGTTGTTTGTTCAGCATATTCCAGCTTGCACACTGGGAAAAAACAGTTTTTTGTTGGGGAGGGGGGAGCCAGAGAGTCCTGCATGGTTTTATGCACTCCCTGATATGTGTTTACTGTCATTTCTAGGAGTTCCAACACCCAGTCCAGAAATCCTTCGACATACCTTGAATATGCTTGTACGGGAGAGGAAAATATACCCAACTCCAGATGGTTATTTCATTGTAACCCCGCAGACTTACTTTATAACACCATCTCTCATAAGAACTAACAGTAAATGGTACCATTTGGATGAGAGGATACCTGACAGGTCTCAATGTACCTCTCCGCAACAAGGAACTATAACTCCCTCCACCTCGGGATGTGTCAGGGACCGAACACTACCCAAAAACCACTGCGACTCCTGCCATTGTTGCAGAGAAGACATGCACAGCATGCATGCATCTACCCTACAGAGGAAATCAGCAAAAGACTGTAAAGACTCATACTGTCCTCCTTCATTATGTCAGGTCCCACCTACTGAGAAAAGTAAAAGTACTGTCAATTTTTCTTATAAAGCAGAGACACTCACAAAGCCTAAGGATGTAGAAAAGCAGTCTAAGAAATTCGGACTCAAATTATTCCGATTAAGTTTTAAGAAGGACAAGACAAAACAGTTGGCAAATTTCTCTGCCCAGTTTCCTCCAGAAGAGTGGCCGCTAAGGGACGAGGACACCCCTACCACTATACCTAGAGAGGTAGAAATGGAGATTATCAGGCGCATTAACCCAGACTTGACTGTGGAAAATGTCATGAGGCACACTGCACTAATGAAGAAACTTGAAGAAGAAAAAGCTCAACGAAGCAAAGCAGGATCTTCAGCTCACCACAGTGGACGAAGTAAAAAGAGCAGGAATCACAGAAAGTCTCATGGGAAATCGAGGTCACACAGCAAGACTCGGGTGTCCAAAGGAGACCCATCAGATGGCTCTCATTTGGATATACCTGCTGAAAGGGAGTATGAGTTCTATGATCCCTTGACTCGATCCCCACGGGAAGGCTGTTTTATAATAGAACACAAGGGAGACAATTTTATAATGCACAGCAATCCTAACATGATTGAATCTCACTTTCCCATGACGCCAGAGTGGGACGTGTCTGGTGAGCTGGCCAAAAGAAGAACTGAAATGCCTTTCCCTGAACCTTCCAGGGGAAGCTCTCACTCCAAGGTCCATCGGAGCCACAGCCATACACAGGATAGAAGATCGAGGAATGAGCGTTCCAGTAAGGCTAAAGAAAGGTCTAGATCCATGGATAACTCCAAGGGACCTCTGGGCTCAGCTACTTTAGTCACACCTGAAGATATAGGTGAAGGCTGTAGCCCAGATGACCAAACAACTAGCCAAACTTACATTGATGATAGTACCTTAAGGCCATCTCAGTCGCTCAGTCATCAAAGGGCTCTGATTTCATCTGCAGGCTACAAAGAGACTTGTATCCCTGAAATAGCTAGTGGCAGTGTAGAAACCCCCAGTTCTTGTAGCCTATTGGAACAAAGCAAACCTACAGAGAATTTACCATCTTACAGCGAGCTCAACTCTTGCACAACGAAATCTGCAGTCGACGACTATTTTCAGTGCAACACATCCAGTGAGACTGTGCTTACTGCTCCGTCACCACTGGGAAAGAATAAAGAGGATCATGACACGCTGACAGGGACAGATGGGCTTAAAAAAATTACTCCCACAGAAAGACAGTCTCAACATATTGCTAGGGAGCCTGGGGTACACAAAGAGGAGTCCCCAAAGGGCCCAAGCAGTGGTTCAGCAATTGCTGGCCAAACTCCAGAAGTGATCGCAAATGGACGGCTGGTTCAACACCATAGCGCTGAATCAAGCAGCCTTGATAAAAGGAAAGAAATATTTAGCAAGGATACACTCTTTAAACCTCTGCACAACACTTTCTGTGAATAGTTATCATAAGTCTAGCACACCCCTGCTAAAGCCCCATCAAAAGACCCCCTCTGACACATTGCCAGTCAGATGTGAGAAACTTGAACAAGCGATAGTAACCTCAGTCGCACAAGTCATGCCTGTTTCACAGAGACCGCAAGAGACAACCGGGAACCAGGAGGCCTCCTTTGACTACTACAATGTATCTGATGATGACGACTCAGAGGAAGGAACCAACAAAAATGCTGAGGAAGAAAAGAACAGGGATGATGTTGGCACAATGCAGTGGCTCCTAGAGAGAGAAAAGGAGAGGGATCTGCAGCGAAAGTTTGAGAAGAATCTTACTTTTCTCACCCCGAAGGAAACAGAAAATAGCAACAACCAGAGAGCCACCCACTCAGCCCGCCTGGACAGCATGGACAGCAGCAGCATTACTGTGGACAGCGGGTTCAACTCTCCACGGTAGGACTGTCACATTCATTGCAGCTTTACAGACTAGAACGTTCTGGTTTTAGTTATATGTGTGTGTGATATTGGTGACAGAACATAGGGCCGTATTAAACAATTTCACACGTTTTCAGACAGTGTTTTCTACAGCTCTGGAATCTGCTATTCAGATGTGTGGGTTTCCCACCGTATCGTAAGCAACCAATGACCATCTGCTGCGGCATTGACTCTGTATTAGTTTGTTTTCTGTTTGCTGAAAACCTCCCTGTATCCTTTTTTTTTTTTCTGTATTAAACTTGTGTTTGCATTTAGAATAGAAGGGATGAGCTCCTGCATACTCCCCCACCCGCTTCCCTTTCTCTGTAAGATACCATCAACAAGACTAACTGGAAGACTAGATATGACTAGGTGGCATAATCTTTGGCTCAGATGAAAAAAAAACCAAACATGATGATTGTTTTGGGTTTGGGCTTTTTTGGGGTTTTTTCTTCAAAAATTTTGGAAGTGTGTCTGTCACCATTCCAAACTGGTGAGACTGGAACAGCTGCTCCCATACACAGCTGAAAGTGCTCAGGCTATCTGAACTTCAGAAGTGACTCAGCGCTGCATCAGCAGAGAGAGAGGTGCCTTGCCTAAGATACTTGGGAAAAGAGTACAGACGTTTGTATGTGGCAGTGCTGGTTAGTCATTTCCATTCCAGGGATCTCGGACATCACAGAAGTCTCGGTGTGCTAGGAGTCTTACAGGCATAGGGAGGAGAGAGTTGGTGATGTGTTCCCTGCCCTGAAGATTTCACAAGCTCATTTCCAGGTTAAGAGCCTTCTTCCTTCTCTCTCTGGCCTCTGAGAGTCCTAGGTCCCTGCTGGAATGGTGCTTGCTTGGTTTTGTTTGCCCTGGATAGCAACCCATCAGAGTTCAGAACAATGACTCTAAGAACACAGAAATGATTTACAATGGTAGTCCTCTTATAGCGTCTTAGTTAAGCATAAACTATTTATTGCCTGTGTTTAAAAATAAAACCTCCAAGACTGGATTTGTATTAGGTGAAAGGAAATGGGTTTTTTTGTTTTGTTTTGTTGTTTTTTTCCCCCTGTAAAAAGTGTTCTTATTCCTCAGAATTAGATATTTTTTTTAAATCTATAGCAAAGGCTCTCAGAAAGGCATATAAAGGATTTGCTGCTTTTACACAGGAGTAAATTTCATTTTCAGTTAAAGTCATGTCACTCTAGAATAAATTCCTTTGGATTTGATGGCTGCTCCCACTTCATGTTAATGACAAGGCAGCAATTAATAGGCCTGCTGCAGCATGCAGTGGTCATTAAACTAGACCAGGCTTTTAACATATGTATAGTTTTTCTGAGTAAAAAATTCGGAAAATAATTTGAGTAAATTGTACCACTTACACTGAGTCCAGCTTCAAAAAGAAACTTAAGAAGACTTGGAAATTGTTCCTGTTATTGATTGTTCTGCAGATGCTTGGCATCTTTCTCACATACAACTGTTGTATGAGGCTATTTGCACTGTTCTTTTTTAAATGTAATCTCTTCTTTTGGTTGAAGTGCTATACTTGCAGTCGGTTTTTGTGGGGGAGTATATGATGGTGTTTGCTTCTTCTTTGCTTGAGCCTGTCTCACTCCGCAGAGTGCATTTTACCTCCAGGATAGGATGTCGACTGGATAAAAATCAGTTTTTAGACTACTATTTTGCTAGCTGTATGCTAGCTGAATATCAAGCTTGCATTTCTGGTTAATGCAGAGGCAGACACTTCCTTCCCTAATTATTTACCCAAAAGCTAAAATTTCTGTTGATGTTAATCTTAAACTTAGCTAGCAAGAGATCAGAACATGGTGAGCATACTGGATTTAGTGCTGCTATACCACTTTGCTCAGATCAAAAGGGAAACAGATAAGCAGCTTTTAATAATGATTATGTTCCACGCATCCCTTTTTTTATTTTACTGTTTTACTTATTAATGAATGTCTTTTTTTTTTTTTTTTACCAAGACCATGTAAAGTAAGCTTTAAAAAAAATAAAAAAGCAACATTGTGTAGGGTTTTGTAAGACCAGCATATAGTCTGGATATTTCAAAGGCTTTTTTATGAGCTTTGCATCAAGATGATTAAAGTGGATGATTTTGCTCAGTTTTGGTCACTCCTCGGTATAAGTCTATAAAACTAAATTGACCTGAGGGTGAATTCAGCCCTTTGGCTATAATTACCATGCTGTTATTACTTTCCTACCTTATAACAAAAAATGTACTCCGCAGCCCTTTTCCAGGAAATACTAGGGAGGAGCATAAGAATGGGATGTGTATGTAGTGATATTCCTCAGATATACTCTTCTAGCCTCCACTGACGTAACTCTTGACTTCCTGAGGTGTGGTGGTATCTTTTCATTTAAACTGAAGTGTGCAGTGTTGCTTGGGGAATCAAAATTACCAATTCTGCACTGTGAAAGAACAAGTATATTTTTAAAGTGTGACAAATTGAAAAAAGGGGCATTTAAAAAGAAAAAACAGGGTGTAGTTAAAGAGATTTGCAATGGTCATTTGACTTCAAAAGTATTTTGTGTGCAAAATTCATGAACACATCACCATTGGGAAAACAGCCTCACAGTATTTTGTTCATTGCTTTTATGCAAGTTGTATATAGTAAATGTTAGCTGTCAATATTAATTTTATCCCTTTATTTTTAGAGCTTATATAATACTGCTGCTCTTTTGTCACGTAAAGAAAGAGCTAATTTTGGCATTACTCTGCATGCAAAATTCTCACTGCAGTATTTATGTATACATGTTGTAATGGTCAGTTTGTAATACCAGAAGTGAAAATGTTTGAAGATCTGGAATTGGTGGTCCCATAAAGAATGATACAATACCGAATGGTCTCTGAAAAACAAAGCTTGCATCTATTTTCATTAAAAAGCAGAGGAAGAGGAATCGAAACATGAGCAACAGAAGTGCACCATACATCATTGCAGCTCAGAGAGATCTCTTACTATGTGCATCACCCATCATAGCTGTGTGGAAGTACGGACAATAAGGCAATAATAGGCAGAAGATGATCAGTAACATTGTGATCAATTTAAAAGATCTGCAGGAGTTTTCCTGAAAGCATCATTGATTTTCCAGATTCAGTCAGTTTAAGATGATTTAAATCTGCCCTACAACTAAACAAGGTGTTTCTTCGTTCCCCTGTGCCATGCACTGACACATTTCTTCCCTGCCACATCCAAAGCTGTTCATTCCTACTCTTCCCCTGATGCTAGCACTAATCTGTTTGTTTGTTTGTTTTTTTTTTTCTTAGGGCTAGTATTTTAACTGAGAGCGGTCCCTGATCTGGCTGGCTGCAAGGCTCAGCATCAGGGAAGCAGCAGGAACATGTGGCAGGGTCAGGTCCACACAAGGCAGGCAAGAGCTGCCCCTTTCAGTAGCAGGTAAATTTAGGCTGACTTTAATCTGACTGCTCTGTTGTTAGTATCTCTTGTTTCTAGTGCTTATTTAACAAACCCATTCAGTCCTCTAAATGTACTCTGTAAACATCTCCACAGCAAGTGGTGATGTCATTTTGCAAAGAAGTAGGGATATAGGCGAAGGATACATAACCAGGGACCACATGGCTATTTGAAAACCAAACCTCTCTCTGCACAGAAACACGTTATTTGAAGATAAATTATTAAGAGTGGAAAGAGAACAAAAAGAGGAGTAGTGGTAAAACTAGCCTTAGCATATCTTGGCCAAGTTTTTTAAAAGCTGTAGACTAAAATACAGGTTCCTCTGCATTCATAATTAGATGTATCATTAAAAGGCTTAGTCTTTAAAAGTCCTAGGTGTTCTGTCACTCCCATGGATAAACAATATGTTAGAACTAAAGGAACGTTGTGCATTTTATGAATGAAATAGCAGCACTAGTTGTTTTTTGGGGCATGATCACAGACCAGGCAGTTAAGATTTTGTATTTTATTTAAATTGAAGTGTTGTGTTTAGAAGCATTATGGGTTCAATGCAAAGTAGCATTTTTAGTTAATATTTTGTGTACAAAGACATAGGTAGACATAGGTAGAAGAGGAGACAACAGAGGAAGCTGTGTTACATGATTACTTTCCTAGCTCTGCCTAGTCACAGAGCTGATGTGATGAAGTTACTCTGTGCAAAAATGTACCAGTCAGGAAAGAAAATTAGTAAGTTCCACATGCAAGATGGAAGCTATTTCCTTGGTTGAAAAATCCAGATGCTTGGTACAGGTTCAGCTTACAGTTTGCGTGACAGCTTCAGCTCTGCTTAGTGGTATAGCTGTGTTACAGTATGATGACTGCTGACTACCTCTGGAACCCGTTTTGGAGGAACATATGTGTACCGTCAAAATGAGATGGTTCATTGATGTGACATTACATACAAATACAGGATGCCTATTATAAAACACTCTATTCTCCTTTCCTGTCTGGTCGATAGATATATAGGCATGTCATATATAGTGTGTATATATATTTCTTTTCCATTCTAGTACTCGTGAGAGCCTGGCATCCAACACTTCAAGTATTGTTGAAAGCAACAGACGTCAGAACCCCGCTCTGAGCCCTGCACATGGTGGCGCGGGCCCAACATTCAACTTCCGAGCCACTGCAGACCCGCCAACAAGTGAAGCTGAGAAACTGCAGAAACCTGCTAACTGCCTGCAAGCTTCTGTCACTAGTGTCTGACAGTCATCTTGCCTCAGATCTTCTGTCTCATCTTGTACAGCAAAGTTTACGACACTGGGACTGATGTTTACATCTTTGGGGAAAAATAAAAAAAGCATCTCAACCACAGTTTTAGTGTTTACTTAAACTGTGCTGCTATGTAGACAAGGGGCAACAAAGAAATCTTTATTTCAAGGTATTGCTTTTCACATTTGCGGCTCTGTAGCAACAGAATAGCAGTAGGGATAATATGTACACTTTTTGCTTCACTTAATTGTAACTGAGCACATATATGAAAGTCTAGACACTGTAAGTGTAATCTGCATTTTCAATGTCCATGCAGTTGCCAACTTCATTTAAAAAAAATGCCACAGATGTGTGATGCCCCCGGTCAGAGGCTAAACTCTGCTGCAGAGTTGATTGTTTTTTACTTCAAAAACTGAGCCACTGCTGGAACTCACCAGCCAGGATCACCATGAGGAAAAACAATGCCAAACATGACAAGTGATGACCTCAGCTCTATCTGTGAATTATTAATACTAATCAGTCATTTTCACTGTGCATTTTTGTGACACAATTTTGCAAATACCCGTTTAAGCAAGTAAAAAGAGGTTTGGGTTTGGTTTTGAAGTATGGAGGGTGGGAAGGGAGACAGCTTCTCCTTTTGTGTTTCAAAAGTATGAGAGATGTTTACTTACTGAGACTTGATACTTGACCTTCCATAGCCACAAATGAGGAGGTGGGCCTTTGCGTAGAGCGGGGAATGGGGAAGGAAGGGAAAGTTATCACTGTCATGGAGCCACAGTGTGGAGTGACACAAAATATAACGTCTTCAGTATAAATCAAGTATTTAAAAAAGATAATCTAATTCTTGTGTCACTTCTGGTATTGCAACTTACCATTAATATGGGAATCAGAATAACTAATTTCTTTGAACAAAAATATTCTTTATGATATAAATGACAAGTATGGCCTGAAGAATTGATTTCTTTCTAGTGGAAGGACATAAATCTATTTTATGTAGCTTATTAAATAGAGTGCCTAAATTAGGCTATTAAAAATAGCATACATTGTAGTGAGATTATCAGAGAACAAAATTTAGAGAATTATAAACTTCTGGCCTTTTTATTCAGTGGATGTTATTTGCAATTTAGCATTTTGTGGACATGTCTAGTTTATAGAAACTAAATGTGACCACATGGTTGGCAGTAGAAATCTGAATTCTTTAGGTATGGTATATCCTAATTGCTCTCCCCTAAACTGTTACTCCAAAGTAATTAGTACTATGCTAATTACTGAAGAGTAACTTCTAAGGATAGTTAAACTCCAAGAGTAATTTTTAGATATAGGGTCACATTCTGCTCTGTTACTGATGCAACCTGGTAGTGCAACAAACTGACTTCAAATTTAACTCTTTCTTTTTTATCAGAACAGACGAATTGGTGGAAGAATAACAAAGATAGTAAAATGTTCAACAGCCCAAATTGTTGCCTAGGAAAGGGACATTTACTCTTGTAGTACACAGGTATGAAACCCAACTGTACATATTAAAAACCAGTGTTTTCACCAGGTTCTGGTGACGTGTATTTCTCAGTACACAAAGTCATTTGAGCTTCACTCATGTTCTCTATTGTCATCAGAAGTCTTTACTGAAGATTCAGCCTTATGTTACACAGTTGGATATAGCTCATATAACGGCTTTCTAACTCTGGACACAATCAGTTTCCAGTTCTGTCAAGAACACCCAATCAATGCACAGGTCTGTTTTCCTTGGTTTCAGTGTATAATTTCCATTTCATAGGAGCAATAAGACCTTTCAGTGCACACAAAGGAAATTATTGTGCTTTTGGTTGGTTATCAAAGTCACTTGGCCTTTAGCCTTCTGCCTTATCATACCTTCCAAGATGTGCTCTAATTACCATATAATGCTTTGCATGACGCATCTTATTATTCAATGTGTAACTCCAGCCGTACTTATTCCATGCAAACTGTAGAGTCAGAGTTTTTGTGGGGAATTGTCATATACTATGCAGTGGCTGACTGTGATTTTGTTTCTGAGATGAGCTCTGACATCAGTAGTATGTATCAGTTCAGTAAATAAAAATGTCAAAATGATAAAATTTACAGTGATGATCTGAAGTACTAACGGCAGTATTGAAATGTGAACATCAAAAAAAAAAAAATTCACCTTTGGGGAAAGTATTTGTTTGTCATAAGCTAATCAGAATTTATGCAGACAGCTGGTTGTACAGAAGACCACTTCAACAAAATACAATAGTACATACCTGTAAACTGTATAGTATGTTATCTCCTAAAGTTCCCAGAGACCAGCAGACAACATAAATGTCATATTAATGTTGACATGGCATTGTACCAATATTAATGTGACTCTTGGAATATGGAATGTAAACAGAAGTTTCAAATAGAAACGTTCTAATCTTGAATTCTTTTTATTTTTCCTTTTAAAATCAACAATGGAATATAAGGAAATTCCATCTTGAGGTTCTGGTAACAAAACCACGAGAGTGGAGCTTGAGTGCTTTATGTCACCCTAATCCTTTGATGAAATCATAGCCTTGTATTACATGGTTGCTTATCTGTCATTCTTCTTCTAATGTATCAATTTAAAGGTTTACAGAGTTAGATTAGGTTGAATCTGTGTTGTGTTCAACTGTAAAGGGTCAACACAAATCTGTCGGCATTTTGCACACTTAATATGTATTATTATAATACAACATGCTACTTTTATGGTAATTTTTTTTACACATATAACTACCTCCATGAATTTGATGAAATGCAGCAACATGAAAAGCGTATTGTACAAAGCAAGGTTAGAAACTTTGAAGCATTAGGTCATGGCGTTCTCTTGTGTGTCAATGCTTGCGTATGAAGTCATCGTGTTTCCATTGCCACAATTTCCTTCTACAATATTAAAAATCTGGCTTTCAGATGAGTCACTTAAAGACTTTGACAAGGCTGCATAATTGGGATAAGAGTGAAAGGGAGGCTGAAACCTTCCATCCTCTCCCCAGTTACTGCTAAAATTTCTGCCTGATAGAACTTGAAAATGTATTTGTAATTTAGCAAATTAGGAACATCTGCAGTCTGTGAAATATGATTGACAGTTTGGGGTTTAACAGAAGACACTCTGGGTATTTTCTTGGCAGCCTTCAAATATTTTGGGCCCTATTCTGCCTCCATCTTTGTCAACATATCAGGTCATAGTTTCTCTGAACTGGCAAGGGTATTAAAACAGCTCTTCCTTTAACTATATGCACTCTGTTCTCTACATTGTGTGCATCTGAAACACTTGCTCCTGCAGAAATTACCAACGGCCTTTAATTGACTTCGCTGGGAGCAGTATTAGGGTCCCTACTCGAGGTATGTGCCTATTGTTCAAAGAACGTGGGCGAGTTTCCAAGAAAAATGAAGCTGGCTTTTGAAAAGTAGCCAGCTGCAACAAGCCACCTTTCAAGAAGGAAGAAAGACAGATTTTTCCAAAAACCAAAGTAAGAAAGTGGCAGTTGAACCTAAGCAGATCACATTTATATACAAATCCCGATTTATGAACACCTCTTTCAGTAAACCTAGTACCATTATCCAGATGCAAATTAATACACAATCATCCGTTGCGCTAATGTTGAAGGTTTAAGTATTTCAGTTGAAAACCATAAGAAATCATTAGCCATTTGACTCTTTGCACCACTGTAAAATGTCCGTAATACGTAAAACAATGTTCACTCAACTTTAAAAAGTAAAATGTATTGGAAAACAAGTATTTTAATGAAAACCGTGGCCTAAGTGCTTGTCAGCAGTAGTCGTTTTTAGAAAAGAGAACAAGCAAACCAGTATTCAGAGGCCATCATAAACACAGGTAACACTTTGCGCTTAAATCACGCCTTTTCTTCTGAGGGCCTTGAAGCACTTGGTACCAGCTAAGCCTTGGGAGCCTGTGAGGCAGGCCGAGTTTGCTGACCCTCCTTTATGTCCGGGCACACTGGAAAAAACAAAGGCTAAGAGTCTGCGGGCTAATTTATTAACCAGTTTCTTTCTTAAAATCAATGGAATAAGTTCAATAGTTAACCAAAGTGTTTCATGTTTATACTCGGAAGTTATTCTTTTGATGCATTCGGTTTGTTTAAGTAAGAGAGAAACTACTTTGCAGTCCTGCAGAGACTCTTGGATTAGCAGTGCCAAAACCAATCAGTTTTCAGTATGAGGACTGCCAGTGGTGGTTTTAGAAACAGTTATTTTAATTAAAAATTTGTTTTTCAAATACATTTTGCAGAGCTATTCCCAACACGATTGTTCAGATTGTTGTGCTGAGAAAGCAAATAGCACTCCTAATCCGGTGTCACACCCACAGTTTACAATTCTCTTTGCTCTTCTGAAGAAAACTGTACAGTATTAGAGAGAAATGTTCTATTTTTTACGAAATTCTTTAAAAATTAAAAGGTATATATCTAAAATGTTCCCCCCAGCATAAGTAAAGTGCATCGTTGCTGCATGAGAGGCATGCAGTGGACCCACTAAAAGCCAAGCTGGTGCTAGAAGAAAACGGGACTATCACGCTTCTTTCATAGCGGCGCTCTAAACGTTGGTTTCAGTTATGCGGGTGTAAATCTGGCGTAACTCCCCTGATCTCCCACGGATCTGACGGAGATGGGAATGGGTCGTTAACTCCATTGAAGCTCAGTTCTGAGCTGAGGGTTTCCGTGTTCCTCCCCGCCCCCCCGAAGGCCACACGCACAGACCTGGCTATGGAGGGGCAGCCTGGGTTGAATCCCCGGTGAAATGCACAGCCACCCAGCCGGCACGCTGCAACAGCCGGCACGCTGCAACAGCCGCCACGCGTCTCGCGCCCCAGAAGGGCGATTTTCAGCGTGGTACGCTGCCCTCGTGTTGTATAGCGGTTAGAGCCACCCAAAGGATACCCACCCAGAAGTATGAAAGGGCCCTTGGAGTAATTGGCACAGATGTTACTTTTATATGTGGAGGAGACTTAAGTTTAAAGGGATCATAATTCTGCAGGTAATTTTCTGTGAGTGACTGAATGTGGCTGTTGCATTAGGTTTAAATGAGTTAATAAATGCAAGTGGGACTTACTGTATG